TTTCTTTGTTTCCCGATGTATCTTCTTCGGCTCTGGCGTACTTCTCAATTCTTGCCATGAGTTCTTCCATGCTTTTTGGCAATGTTTTTGCCAAAGACTTCCGTAGTGGGCAGTCATCTTTCAGGCCGTTCTTGAAAGATACGACCGCTACCTCTTGGTTGCATTCGGGTATTCGGTTGAACACCTCGTAGTACCTCTTCGCATAGGCCCTAAGGCCTTCTTCCTTGGTGATTCTTAGAGCCATCAAAGCATCAACCCTCAGGGGTTGCAGCTTGTTGGTCACGAATCTGGCCACAAACATCTCGGCCAGGCCTTCCCATGTCTTTATGCTTCCTTTTGGTAATTTATGGAATCAATCAGATGCAATTTCCCCAAAGGATGAGGGGAATACTTTGCAGAGCAACGGCTTGTTCCCGCTATATAACGCCATTGAATTCAGGTATAGTCCAATGTGAAAGTTTGGATCTGACTTACCATCATAAATTTGAAACCTTGGCATACTGAACCTCTTTGGTGGTTCGAAATTGTCCAGTTCCACCGAGAAGGTTGTCTTTGGTTTTACTGGGGAGTTTACCTCGGCTTCAGCATTCTGTTGTCTCCTTTTGAGGTAGTCTCTCAGGTCTTCTTTGCTCCTCCCTGGAGCTCGACTGTCTTTGGACTTTAGTCTTTTTGGTACACTGCTTTCGGCCTCGTGGTGGGTCCGTTTGGATCTTTCTCCATGGGTTGTGTCAAAGCAGAGTGCTTGCGCTTGAACATGCCGATGTTCTTTGGGTTCTGGATTCTTCATGTGGTGCGTCCTTCGGGACTCTTCTTGCCTCGGCTCTTCTCGTCCGACTTCCCTGGAAGGCCGGTGAGAATGTCTTCCGCTCCTGGTATGCTGAGGGACCTCGGGGATTGTTTTTCTTCCGCCCTTCTGGGTGTTGGTTGCTGGCATCGACGTATCTTGCAGCGGGTATGGTGGCTGCATAACATTATTCTGCATCATGAAGTTGACGACTGACTGAAGGTCTGCCAACTTGTTCGCCAATTCTTTCACTTCCTCATCCCTCCGTAGACACCTGTCCCTCCATACCTGGAGGTTATCTTCATTGTAGTACTTTCCTTGGTCTGTTCTTTTTGACGTGTCACCCTCCTGGATGACGTCTTTCTCTCTGTGACCCTGGTCACGGGCTTCTGTATTGTGGTTGTCTCCTTCAATGTTAAGGTCAATTGGTCTGCCACTCCCAGCGGGAGCGTCATCCCTAATTTTTTCCTACTGTCCGTTACTGGCCATCTATTCTTCCTTCGTTCCCACAGACGGCGCCAAATTGTGTGGATGAAAATCTGACCACACTGCCTACTCAGTAATCAGTTGGAGATCACAGGCAGAATAGATGGCTTCAGTAACCTGTAACAGAAAGAGAAGGCTCCGGCGGTGGTTCTTCCACCCGGGGGCACTCCGACGATCAAGTCAATATATCTCTCAAAGATAATCAAGTGCTTAAACTTAATACTCAAAATGTAAATTGCATACCTTAGACCCACGGGGGTGCTTTTCTTTTATAATATACTCAATCCAAGTCCCACTAGAAGTATGACTTCTATGAACTCCAATTCTGTGCTTACTTTGGACTCCTCAAGAGATAAAGATAAACTCCCTAAGAGCTTTATCGTTATCTTGGTTAAGTCCCCTCTTCGTCTTAAGACTCATGTCCCTTATTCGTTTATCTCGGATTCCGATATCTTCGGAGATAACCTCGGCAACACCGAGATCACCTCGGCCTAACTACCACGACACGTGGTACCTCGGCTGACACGTCGGCGTCACCATGCCACGTGTTGGTATTCAGAAAATATATCCCCACAAATTATTATAAAACTAAACTAAAAGGACCCTTTGTATTTTTATGATGATGAAAAAATATCTTGTATTCACGATGCAAGTCTTTTGTCGTGTGTGTCAAAATCGCACCGACAAAATTCGGGAAATTGTAAAATATTTTTAGAATATTATGTGTCCGTACTCCTTAACTAATTATCATTCAATAGGGGTGGGCGCGGGTCGGTTGCAGCCACGGAATCTCCAATCCGCCATCCGTCTGTTAGATTGGCGGATTGGAGAAAATCAATCTGCATCAGTCCACCAATCCGGCGGATGTGGATTGAGCAGATTGGTGGTTTGGCGGATGTATGTGAATCGGTTTGGCGGTTTGAAATTTTATAAATTTTCAACATAGTTCAACTTGTGCACTTCCTCAAAAAAAAAAAAAAAAAAGAAGAAAATATTACAGTCAATGACTTAAAAAAGTATTACAATTACTGCATGTCTCATCCAAAGAAAGAAAGTTTGAAACTTTAGAATATCACAATCACTGCATGCCTCATCTACATATTACAACAGCATGCCTCATCCATATAAAGTATTACAATCTGTGGTTCTTAAAATATAAAAACAATTCAAACCACTAAAACCATGAACAGAGCAATAGTAGAGATTGTATGTGTCTGTATTGTTACATTTATATATGTTTTTGAAAACAAAAACCAACCAGCATATATCATATTTTTTATTTATTACTTTTAGAGTTAGATTTAAAAATCAAAAAATATAGATAAATAATACGTTTATTTTTTTCAATTCAAAAAATATATTCAAGTTGAAAATTTTTTTTCAACAGAATATTTGAACTATTTTTCAATTGAAAATACAAACAAAATATTTAAACAAATTGAAAACACAAAGTCTTATAAATAACTAAGGGTGTTTGCGGTTTGACGGTTCGGTTGCGGCCAAAGGAACCTCAAATTCGTCATCCGTTCGCCAAATTGGCAGATTGGAAAAAATCAATCCGCAATCGTCCGCTCGTCATCACGCATCCGTCCAAAATGCGGCGGATCGATTCAGTTCGGTTGGTTTTGACGGATCGGTATATCCGCTGCTCACCCCTATTCAATATGCCTATTATATTCTCCAATTATCTAATATAATACCCCACTTGCTCTTATTTTTCACTAATTACAATATTATAAAATATTACATGTCTATATTATGAGATTATTATAATATAATTATTACTGATTTATAATTTTTCTAAAAAAGGAAAAGAAAAAACAAAAAGGCATTATAGATCTATAAATATTGTGCAAAAATACCCACAACTAGGTATCCACCACATCCAGATCAAAATAGATGAATGAATGTACACACAACACACCACCTCCATGTGAGCCACTTTCTATCACAGCCAACATTTATAACATGTTTGTTAGGCTTCTCCTCCTCATCTGCGTGCGTGTCAATACATTTTCAAAACCAAACAAAAACCGTTAATTAAAAAGATCTGAGTTGTGGCGTCAACCGCGACCCTCTCTCCCTCCCTCCCTCCCGCCCTAATCTCAATTTTTTTACTATTCATTCATTCTGGTACAAAAACCACCTTCAACTCCCTCCTCAAATTCTGAATCTCTCCGATCGATTTCTCGACTCAATTGCCTGATGATTTCCGCCGGAAATCGTCCCTTGGTGTGTTGTTCTTCGCCGGAGTGTGGCTTTTCTGAGGCTTCGTCTCCGAACTTAGGGTTCGTGCAGTTGTCGCTGCCTAATTTTGATTGTAAGAGTTTGGGGCTCCAAAGCACCAATGCGAGATCGAGCTTTTTCGCGCCAGTGAAAGCAATGGAGGGTTCTAAAACTTCGTACGTCAATGGCAAAGCTGATCGCGTTCGAGAACTGAACCAGTTGGGCTCCAATTCAATCGATAACGCGATGAGTGATTCTAGTGGTATTCTGATCTATCACTTATCTAATTTATATTTGAAATGTGCAAACGATTTCGTGAGGCTTTTAGATTCGATTCTACAACCTTTTATGTTGTAGAATTGATTTTGTAATGTACTTGCAAAATAGTTAAATGTACTCAAATGTACGGAGATTCTGATCTTAATCAATTGTATAATTAGGTAAATGCATCTTATAGATTGATTTCTTTTTTTATTTATGTTTTGTTGCATATTCGTGAGGCTTTTTCAGATTTCATTTTACAACATTTTGCAAATGATTGCTTATTTTTTATTGTTTTATGTTTTGAGATCGGCTTTGTAATGTACTTGCAAAATAGTTAATTGTTACTCAAATGTATCGAGATTCTGATTTTAATCGATTGTTTAATTAGGGAAAAGCACCATCCAGGTGTCTACGATTGGGAATTCGACGAACATTGCTTGGCATAAGTGTTCAGTTGAGAAAATTGACAGGCAGGAGTTGCTTCAGCAAAAAGGTTGTGTAATATGGATCACGGGTCTCAGTGGTTCAGGTTTGTATTTTTTTTTTATTGACCATGGCTTGAGCCTTACTATCTAGGCTATATGAATTTTTTCATGTGTTTGCTACATTTTGATGTTTGGGATTCAAATTGAAGACATGAAGCATAAACTCCAATATATCAAATAGATGATCAACATCCTTATAGTGTGATGATTGTCGTCACTCATGTACTGAGATGATATTTTTATTTATATTCTTTAAATTTCAAGCCGCTTAAAAGGATTAGAGGATGTATCATTTTTGTATTTATAAATGCTCTGCCAAGCAGGCTGGTGATGCCTACTAGGATGTCATGTTCCCCTCATTTATTTTTTCTTTAATGTTTGAAATTGAAATGAAAAATGACAGTCTGTTTGAAGTCATAAATGTGAAATTCAGAAGTGGATGTAATGGAAATTTTGTAAGCAGACATCATATGCTAGAGATCATAACTAATTACCATTATCTTTACAATAACTAATTAATAAAATGTTTACGTAAGAAGATTTGGTTCATTGTGACCACTTTTGAATTGGTTTTAACATGCTGCTAAATTAGACTTCTGTTCAGAATTTGGATATTAGTTCCAATAAAGTGAATACATGAGTTTTCCACCCTTTTTATATGCCTTTCATTTTTTCTTCTTAGAGCTTTAACAAACATATCTTCAATGTTATGCATAAGGAAGGATTACAGTTTTTAAATAAGATTGGTGGCCTTTTTTTAACTTTGGACATTAAGTTAAGTTCTTATCAGCAATAGACGTCTTTTCCACTTTATTTAGTTCATTGTCATCTATTTGGAATGAAAAATTGTGCATGTTCACAAAATGACTTAAAATGCGAGTCCGTCAAAAGGGCTCTTATATCTTTGTCAAGCCCAAGATGAATTGGGTTGTCATTTATCTCAGTATTTTACTGATACTGAAGGAAATACAAGAACAAGTTTCTGATACAGCTCTAAGGCACATTTTGGGGAACTTTTAAGTTACAGCAAGAGTTCGATACTTTTTTTTATGCAATCTTCTCAATATTATTAGCATTTCTTACCCTGGTATATCTTCTTCCGGTTAACTCCCTATCTTCAAGTAATTGTTAAGACTCATGAACTATTATTTTGTTTTATCATTTTAAATAGTTTGATCTTTAATTTTAGGAAAGAGCACTTTGGCGTGTGCTTTGAGTCGAGGCTTGCACTCCATGGGAAAGCTGACCTACATCCTTGATGGTGACAACGTTCGTCATGGTCTAAATCGTGATCTTGGTTTCAAACCAGAGGATCGGGCAGAAAACATACGAAGAATGGGTGGGTTTTAACGGTCCATCATTTGTACAAACTTCATTGCCTAAATTTGCCCTCTTACTCTTTTCTAAAATAGTTCAAATTTCATATTTATGGTTTTTAGGGGAGGTAGCGAGGCTCTTTGCAGATGCTGGAGTTATTTGCATTGCCAGTTTAATATCGCCCTACAAAAAGGACCGAGATGCATGCCGTGCATTACTGCCAGAAGGAGAATTCATTGAGGTTTGTGCTCTGGAAGGATTGAGCATTTTGCTGCTTAAAGTTGTTAGTGTAGTACTGGTAGAAAGAGGAAGGGGATTTTGGTATAGAGAAAGGTGCTTCATTGCCTATAATTGATAAAGTCTATAACTCACAGGTGTTTATGGATGTGCCTCTCCATGTATGTGAAGCAAGGGACCCTAAAGGCCTGTATAAGCTTGCACGAGCTGGAAAAATTAAAGGTATCTTCTTGCAGTCTCATTGAAGATTGAAATTCTGAAATCTGAATGATAGTTGTTTCCTTTCACCTTTTTCTTCACTTGATCTGCTGTGTCAGTGTTCTAAACATAATGTTGATGAGCTTGAGATTAAATTTATGGTGTGTCATTTAAAAAGCATGGGGGCTGCTTCGAAATCTCGTCAAGCCAATGCCACCTCCAGATTGTAAAAAAACTTTCTTTCACAATTTTTTTTACAGGTCACTAGCTCTCAGTTTAAAGTGTTCTCTTGTCTTGCAGGTTTTACAGGGATTGATGATCCATATGAGGCACCATTAAATTCTGAGGTATGTATGCCCTTTAATGAAAGAGATGTTTTTATGTGCCTGAATTCGCTCAAACACGTACATTCCAAGGATAGGTTTCATTTAAAACATGAAAATTTCAGGATACACCGATTTACAATGTCAAATAATAGTATATATTAGTGAACCAATATGCATCAAGACGAGAGGTCTTGCTGAAATTAATAACTGGATATGAAGTCGAAGTTTGGGGCCTTTCTTGTATCAGGGTTGTCTAACATGCCACGGTTTACCTATTGATGTTTAAATAACCCATTTTTGCAGATAGTATTACAACAGAAAGGAGAGGTCTGTGCTTCCCCAAGTGAAATGGCTGAAACAGTGTTAGCTTACTTGAAGGAGAAAGGGTATCTGAATGCCTAATTTGTGAACAGTGGCCCGAGTTGACTATCTGTCTGTCTACCAGTAACCAAAACATGATATGCAAAATTCCAAATGTCTGCAGGATGGGAAACTTGTTTCCTGTTTCTGTGCTTCGATAGTATGTTGGATGATATCAGATTAATTGATGTCATATTTGTTGTAATGCCGTTCAAAAGGCATTTTGTGTTTGCTTCAATTGATAGCAATAAATAAGGAAAAGGGTTAGTCAAGTGTGATTCTGTTGATAAAAAAGCTTGTTTGATGGTTGGTAAAACCCGACATGTACTTATGAATAATTCTGATTCGATGAATTTTAAAATCACATAGCAATTTGTTTTCCTATTAATAAGGTGTTGCAACCTAGCTTCTTGGCAGGACAATATAAAAGGAAAAAAATTCTGTCTCGATGGAGTATACAATCTTGAAAGGTGGTGTTTTTGTTCCTCCACTTCTTTAGACCATATATTTCTAAGCCATTTTGTGTGAAAAAAATACATAATAGAAGTATAAGCATGTGCTATAACAATCATTTTAAAAACTATTATTTTTAATTTGCATTCTCCAATGAAAAAGTAAAAAAGGATATGGAATCATTTTTTATTATTTTTAAATCAATGTGAAATACAATTTATATCTAACCCAAGTCCCAACTCACCATGCTTTTGAAGGTATTGGGAAAAAAAAATTGTTCATTAAAAAAGATTTGGTTGTCAGATGAGCGGTGGATCTGAATGATGGCGACATCGTCGCCCTCCTCTCTCCTCTACGTCGGTGGTGGTGGTGGTGGTTCTCATTAGGCGTTGCTGTCTCCGGCAACAGATTGCGGCGGCGAACAATGGTCGTTTGTTCTTATGGGGGGGAAGCGGCTTGAGTCTTGAGGGAGGTGGAATTTCGAAACAATCCGTTGGGTTGTTTTTAGGAATCAGATCCTCATTGAGATTCTTATTGAGATTCTTACTTGACTTCCTACTTGTTAGATTATTGGGCTTATTTTTAGCTCAATTTCAATGATTCAGATCATTCATATTTTAAGATTTGTTGGTTATATCATACCTGTAAAAAAATCAAGTTGTTTAAATATTAAAAAAATGTGTTCGGATCATTGAACTAAAAACTACTTTTTTTTAAATTTTAATAAATAGTTTTTCAAACACATACTTTCTGATATTCGATCAATTTAATTTTTTACAAGTATAATATACTCAACAAATCTTAAGTTATGATTGATTCAAATTATTAAAATTGAATCTAAAAATAGGCCCTATAACTTGGCAGGGAGGAAGTCAAGTAAGAAAAGAGGGGATCCTGATTCTGTTCGTAGTCCAGATCTGATCTGATTCCCCAGAGAGCGAGAGAGAGAAATAGAGAGAATGAAGAGCAAATAGCAAATACCATTCAATTCAATAATTTTTTTTGTACTAGCAAATAGCAATAGAGAGCAATAATAAAAGAGTTTAAATAGGCAACAGTAGTAGTAGTAAACATTAATGTCAAACATCGATGTGGTGTTACAAAGATTTGACAGAGAGAGAGTACAATTGAGTTGAAGGTGTAAAATAAATAATCAAAGGAAAGGTATAGGTAATGAACGGCGAGAGTAAGTGTGGTGGAGAGACAAAAAGCAGAAGGCAAGAGCGGTGGTGAGAGCCATCGCAGCAAAGTTCACTGCTTCTAAAATGGCATCGAAACGGCGCTCGTGGAGACCCCAAAGCGTAGTCACGCAGTCCCCAAAACCACCCACCACCGTTGCTAAGAATATCGCCATCTCTCTCTCTCTCTCTCTCTCTCACGATTCTAAAACAGAGATGAGATACAAACCCAGATGACCCAGTAACCAAAACGAACTACACACACCGGACAACAACTCTAGTCTATAATTGCAAATTGGAAATTTATTGAGCATACCCATACCCCACCCACCTCTTCCAATCTCATTTATAACCTAAGTTTATTGGTCCCCGCCATTAATCATAGTGTTTGCAACTTGCAAATGTAGAGGTGATTTGAGAAGTTAGTCAAAGTTAATTTTTTAATTTTTTTACTATATATTTTTTTATCTTTTTATGTGTAAAAAATGTGAGAAGTATTGTGATATAAAAATTAAAAGCTAATTTGTAATTGGATTGTCAAATTGCCTCATAATAAATAGCTGTTGGCGTTCACCAAAGAAAATAAAATAAAAAATAATACACTTAGGTCTCGTTTGTGAATATGTTATTGTGTGAGTGATTTTTCGATCACATTGCCCCACTTAGTATTCAGCTAGAGAGTATTGGCAGAATAGATGACACCTGACTGACCTGTATCAGAAAGAGAAGATTCCGGCGGTGGTTCGTCCACCCGAGGGCACTCCGACAATCAAATCAGTATATTTCTCAAAGATAATCAATAGTACTAAACTCACTATTCAGAATATAAATTGCGTACGTTAAACCCATCGGTGGTGCATTTCTTTTATAGTTAACTCAATCCTAGTCCCCATAGAAGCCTAGCTTCAATGGACTTCTGCTTAGTGTTTATCCTGGACTCTTCAAGAGATAAAGATAAACTCCTTAAAAGTGTTATCCTTATCCACGCTAAAGTCCTTCCTCATTCTAGGACTCTTGTGCCTTATCCGCTTATCTCGGATTCCGATATCTTCAGAGATAACCTCGGCCTAACCGAGATAACCTCGGCCTAACCGAGATAACCTCGGCATCACAACCTGGACATGTGGCACCTCGGCTGACACGTCGGCGTCACTTTCGCCACGTGTTGGGACTCAGAAAATATATCCCCACAACTACCTTAGTAACTTTTTAATTTTTTATGAAAAGAGTCCTCTAAGTGTGTTTTCAGGGCTCCAGTACATCGGCTTCAGCCGAGATCATCATTATAGGCCGACATGTCTCATTAAGGTTTAAAAGTTTCCAAGATCTCCTTCACGCGTATGAGCTATTATGAAAAATAATTCAACCGTTTCAACCATGCGTCTTCCTTTTACGGGATCGTACTCCGTACGCGCTCACAAGTCGTCTTGCGCCTACATGCGCCGTCTGACGCATTCGTTGTTCCAGACGCATTAATTGCCCTTTTGCCGCTGTTTCAAGTTTTGACAAAAACTCGTATCTTCTCTCTTCGTCTCTTCACTTTTCACTTCTGAAGTTTTCTTTTCTCTTCCTAACCTTCCCTTCAAGATCCTCTATTGCTCAAGCTTCCAAAACTCTGCAACTTGCTCCGTCCATTTACTCCGGCGAGGTTCTTGTCAATTTGTTCCGCTGCCACCGTTCTTCTGACTTCGGCGATCTCAACATCAGCTTCTTTTTTATGGTAAGTCACCATTCCTCCTAGTTTTAGTTCTTGTCGTGCTCCAAAAAAATTTTGCTTTATCATTAGCCGCCATTGCTGTTTTACTCAAATATTTGATTCATGAATCATGCCTCTGAGTGTATTTATTTTACGATTTTGCTATTTTCCCATGTCTTGAATATTCACACTGCTCACAACTTTTCTACTTTCGCCATTGTTCTGGGCCTTGTACCCTTTCACACTCTTTGTCACACAGTGTTCTTGGTAGTTCACCCTTGTTCTTGATTCTGAAACACGTTCTTGTTTTTTTGTTTTCCAGATTCGTGCCGTCGATCTTCATTTCCATAGATCTAGGGTTGGGATTTGTTTGTAGAACCCACGATTTTTTAGGAAAAACTGAAATAATTTCCACAAATTCTTTACCCAGCAAATTTTTAGGTTTTTGCTGAGGTCCATAAAACCCTTTAGAAACACACCTTTCTGAAATCCAACCCCTTCAGTTAAGCCGATATCATGGGTATGTAGAAATATAGGGTAGACACCCCGAACAAATTAGAGCACTTTAGGCAGGAGTTTGACATCCCGGCCGACGTTCATCTGAGGTTGGCTGAGGAGGAAGACTCTATCATGCCCATAGCTGATTCCATGCCCCTTCTTGTTGTAGCTTTCATTGAGTGCGGACTTTGGCTCCCACTCAATATCCTTTTTCGTGAGATCATTCATTATTACAAGTTGAACCTAGTGTAACTTGCCATCAATTCCTATCGAGTCATTAATGGCATAATAACCTTAGCTAAACAAGAAAACATTAGGATTACCTTAGCCGACATCCAATACTACTACACCATGTGTGGCCTCAAAAAAGATACAGGCTATGTTTATTACCTTAAGTCGAGGTCCACAGAGTACAAAATCGTAGCCGACCTCCCAGACTCCAACAAGGGAGCTGGAGACGATTACTTCATTACCTCGGGGAACTGGGGGTTCGCTCCAGATGAGGACCTCCATCTCTATCCTCTGCCTCGAACGGTTTTCGTAGAGGGCACTGGTAAGAGCCCTCCGTTCATACTTACTTGTTTTCAAAGTCTTCAATACTTTATCTGTTTCTAACGTCTGTTTTGTTTGCAGCTCTTCGTCAGCCACCAAAGGGCTTCCGTCAGTCATCCTTTCCCAGCAAAGACTCGAGGAAACTTTTGATCTGCCAGTTCTCAAACGGAAGGCACCTCTTCTACTCAATTTCATTCCTACGTACAAGTCAGCTCTTCCCGACGTCTCCAAGAAAAAGAAAAAGAAGAGTCTGTCTCCTCCTTCCGCCACAACTCCTCAAGCTGCATCCACATATCGGCAAGATCAAGGATCAATTTCTGATCTAGCCGAGCAGCCGTCAACCTCGTCTCCATATCTAATCCCGATATCCCAAAACCAACGCCAACGCCAACGCCAATGCCAACGCCGGCGACGAACCATTTTTTCTGCCGAGATGGGCCGTCAAAAAGTAGTTGCCAAAGATCTCTTGGCCAGCATCCCATTAACCATTGATGCTCCACCAGCACAATCTCAGCCCCCTGCGAAGCCGAAAAGAATAAAGAAGACTCAGCTAAAGGCAAAGGTGACTAAGGTTGACACTGAGGACACCTTGCCAATCTCAAAACTGGCTGGGAGTGATAAGTCCCAATCTGCCGCGGAGAAGAGGCGTGTTAAGGCCCAACCATCTAAATCCTCAAAATCAAAGAAGCCAAGGTCATCCAATACAGCCACCTCGGGGTCTTCAAAGCAGGATGCCCCCTATGCCCCTCAAATCACACTGGAAGATAAGCCAGTCAAGGCTAGCGATAGTGCTGACGACATAAATGTCGCCGTCGCCCTCAGTACCGCTCTGTTTTTTTTCGGCGATCTCGACAGAAACGCCGAGTTGAGTGAGTATGAGAATTATGCTCTGATGCTTCAGCGCTCTGTCCAAGTGAGTGTCTTCATTTGGTCATTTTTCGTTCTTTCTTGCACTTAGAAAATTTTCTGATAACTTTTGTGTTGTTCACTTTTAGGTCATCCAGCATGCTC